GTGATTTTCGAGTTCTTGAGTTAATTGATCATTCCACATTATTTTGCTGCAGGAACTTTTCCTCTGCCTGACTGAGGTGCACCAGGATCCTCCCAGCTCAACAACGTATGCACCCTCTCCGGTGATGAAAGCATTATTCGCTCCAAGACTCTTCGAGCATTCGGATGTTGATGTGAAAGTTTCTGTCGCAGCTTGCATCACTCATATTATGAGAATAACTGCTCCAGAAGCTCCGTATTCCGATGACATGATGCAGGTACGTACGTTCGTGTTTGGTCGTTTTATCTTTTAAGGAAAAATTAGCATAATGCGGGTTTGTTCACTGACTACTTTTCTATGGTTCATGCGCAGGAGGTATTCCAGTTAATTGTCATTTGAACATCTATCTGACATGTCTAGTTGCTCCTATGCCAAGAGGATAGAGATCCTTGATATTGTAGCAAAGGCCAAAGTATATGTTGTCATGTTGGATCTTGGATGTGATGCACTTCTTACTGAGATGTTCCAGCACTCTCTCAAGGCACTAAGGTACAAGCTAACAAGTTCCTATCTGCTATAATTAAAGTTCAATTTAAAGCATAACTTTCTGATGCTAGATTTTGATTCACGGATGTTGACACGTTGTTGTTCCCTCTTCGCGCATTTAACAAACTATATGGTTACAATTAATTTCAGAAGCTGTCATTTCAATGTGATTGGTTATATTTTTTGTTAGAAACCTTGTTTTTACTTTTGTCTATGCATCTTCAAGCTTCTCATTCGATATCATTTCCCACTCGCATTTCTGCCTCTCAATGGACTTATAATGTGCGATTTAGTTTTATGTGTTGGTAATGGAGTTCCACAACTGGTCTACTGGGTATTGGTTATTTTTGTTGTATAACATTCATCAATGCGCGTTTAACTGCTGTTTCAATTTATATTTCCTTTTCAGGGATGATCATCCAATGAAAGTATTTTTATCTATGGAGACTATTATGACCGTTGTTTTAGAAGAAAGCGAGGATATACCTCCAGAGCTGCTTTCACCTATTCTAGATTATGTTAAAAAGGATGATGAGGTGATACATATTTTCTTTATATCTCTAATTCGGAAACCAGTGCTCTTTTGCTAACTCTTTCAACTTGATAGCAGATTCCCCAAGTATCACAGAGGTTGGCAGAACAAGTTCTGAGTAGATCTGCTAGTAAACTCAAAACGTGTCTCGCTGAAGCAGTAAAAGCATCTGGCGTTTCTTTAGATAAGTATAGTAATCTAGTGGCTTCAATATGTGAAGGAACATTCAGTGAAGTAAGCTCTCTCACCTGTTTATGTGTCAAACTGCCTTTATTGTTGGTAGATAATGTACTTGCATCACGTGTAATCATTACGGATGATGTTTGTTTTGGGATACCAACGGTTATGCGAGTTGTCCAGCTTCATTTTCTCTTATACTGTTCTACCAATTCGTGTACTTTGCAGGACAGCCAAGGCCCAAGGGAAGCGGCAGTAAAGGCATGCTTCTTTCTCCCTTTAACCAGCGCTGAAACATTGAATTTTGTCGATTTGTAGAAAGAAGAAGATTGTTAATTGTCCTGTTATTATTTTTCAATCATCAGAAGATTGCAGAAGTTTCAACTCCCGAGCAAACTTGTGTTCATGCAGCTAATTCTTCGATAAACAAGAATGGACATGAGGCTGTGTCCCCAAGACGTGAAACAGTAGCTGGAGTAGAAACACGCAAGCGAGCTCGAGTTGAAAACTGCAGACTTCATGAAGCTCATCATGAGATGGGGAAGACGCCTACTGCAGAAGGAGAACCCTCCTGCCGCAATCACAAATCCAGTGCTGAGCCCGAGCACAAGAAACTCCCTAAACCTGGCTCCGTTTCAGATCAGTTGGCTAAGGTGAAACAGAGCATTGTAGACACTATAACCAGTGTAAGACAGTTTCGCTCTGAGCTCGAGACAAAGGAACAGAGCATTGTTGACATTCTAACCAGCGTACGACAGTTTCGGTCTGAGATCAAGCAAAAGGAAGATAATCTAGAAGCTTCGCTGCAGGAAGTCGACATTTTAGGTACGTGAACTGGATGCTAATGAACACTTGACTTCTTTTTTGTGGTTCATTTTGGTTTCAAGTCTGATTTTGGAACAAACAGGGGAGAAGATAATGGGAATCAACAAAATCCTTAACTCATGATCAAGTTGAGTTAATCCGAAGATCATAAAATGGACCTTTTTTGGTATCCTGGAGTTAAGTAGTTGACCAGAGCCAAGTCTAAAAGACAGATTAATTTTCGGATTCTCAAGTCTAGTATAAGGCAAAACCATTATCAGTAATTATCTTTAATCCATATCTCTGCTAAAATGTTAAAATGTATAAGCAACGAAGTAGCCAATTGCTCTAAAAATCAGCACACAATGCATTCTAATATTAATTGACTCTTAACGATATAACAAAGTAGCCTGATACAACTAAGGAACGCAAGTACAAACTTTCTTCGCAATTGAACTGACCAAAGGCACCAAGAACTTGCAAGTGTGAAATATCTGGCGGTTCTTGTGAAACCACCGTTGAACGATTCAAGATACAAAGAGTACTTGCAAGTAGTCTTTTGTCCACTCTTCGGTTTTACCTTAAATCAGTTTATTGTTGAGAATTTGGCTGATTCCCAAAATCCTTTCCCCTGTTTCATCATCAAAAGATTAATAAACCTTAAGCAGAACAAAAATGAGTTCCAGAAAAGCAAGTAGATAAACACACCTAACACGTCAATTTCCACTAGCGAAGCTTCCAGATCCCGTTCCCTTGTCTCGAGGTCTGCGCGGAACTCCCTTACAGTGTTCAGAGTATCAACAATGCTCTGCTTTACGTTAGTCACTTGATCAGAGACTGAGCAAGATTCCTGTCTGTTTGAAACCCGAGTGCGTCCCTCTTTTTCAACTCTTGGAGTCTTTTTCACAGTCCTTGCCTGTAGATCAGTCTCACAAGCTCTCTTCTTACGAGTTCTCCGGTTTCCTTTTCCCTGGCTTTCAATCTGAAAAAGGAACTCAAGAGACATTTTTAGGCTCTTAAGTTTAAACAAAGCAAACCAAAAAAAGCTTATCTATATACACAAAGTTGTGTTAGTGGTTCACCTTAGAGTGGAACCTAAACATAGGATTTGCATCTTCCCATATCAATTCCAACACGAACGAGTCGTTTACTTTCACTCCATTCGCTTTGCACATCTCTATCCAACCTCTTCTCAAATAAAACCATTCACTTCCTTTTTTTTCACATCCTGTCATTTGTAGATTAGATGACCACTTTCTTCCATCTTTGTTCAGCAGAGTTATCTCCCCAAGCTTATTAATGCCATTCTCCGCAATGAAACGCGATGAAATATACTGAACAAGATTTAAATCAGTAACTTCCTAGACGCTACAAACACTAAAAGTCATGACTATATCAACCCAATCAAAGGTACAAAACGTTATTGCGCTTACTAGTTGTCCGGTCTTGTAACGACTCGGTGTCAATTTTGTTGTCAGAAATGGCGAAGGCGTCTTCTTCTTCTTTCCCTCTGAAACTCCATCCGACTTGCTCTTCCCATTGCTGCAGCCTCCTCCTGCAGAACAA